ACTCCAGACAGTGGCAGCCAGGCTTGCTTACCGCTGTCGAAGACCTAAATAATGATGTTAAACAGCAGGGTTTCCGAAGAATGTTCCCTCCCAGTAAAGGTACAGAAAACTTGTATGTCTGAGTTAGGGGTAAAGCTGGGTGCTTGAGTGCTTGGTCAGTGTGGCCTGCTGTCTGTCCCTAGCACAGAGGCGACAGGAAATGAAAGGGTCTGTCCAGGTAGTGCAGATGTGCAAAGCCGGGCATGGCAGTATGTACCTGTAGTCCCCGTGCTCAGGAGACTGAAGCAGTGGATGACTTGGGCTTAGGAATGCAAGAGCAGCCTGGACAACAGAGAAGACTTCATTGCAGAAATAACCGAGTGAATGAATGAAAGGAAGGAAGAGAAGGAGGAAGGGAAAAGAAATCGTGAAAGTAAGTTCTCTAGATGGAAGGCCGTTAGTTTGCAGATCAGACGGGACCTACTGCTTTCAGATAGTGAGTGAAAACAGCTCTAGACTGAGCAGGGAAAGATCTAGAAAGGTCAGAGGTCGTACCATAGGTTAGAGACATCGTCTTTGGATGCATGCACAGTAAGAAGTTCTGAAAAGTCCTGAGGGAAAAGCTCATGGGTCCCTCCCCTTATAACTGAATTATTGACTATTGATAGGTTCTGGAGAGGGAGGGAGGGAGGGAGGGAGAGAGAGAGATTTGTATTCAGTTGTACAGCCGCTGCTGAGCCCACCAGGTTCCAGTAGATAGCTCCAAACCCATGTGCATACAGACATCCTGGTTAAATCCAGTCAGTAACAAAAAGAACAATCGGACAAGAATAGAAAGATTGTAGGGAAGAGGGGCTGTGGCGTGTGCAGGAGGCAGATAAGGTGGGGGTGAGATCAGTCTGTATGTGTTAATACATGTATAAACTTGGCAAAGAACACGTTTTATTTAAAAACATTTTCACAGGAAGCCAAGCATGGTAGCACAGCTATAACTCTAGCACACAGGAGGCTACAGCAGGATTGTGAATTTGAAACTAGCCCGGGCTACTTAAAATGACTCTTCCAACAAAGCAAACAAAATTCCAAGGGGAAAAATTTCCAGCCTGATATTCTATACCCGACTCTTTCTGGGCTGAGTGTTGTCTTCACAATGTGACTGTTAGGACACAGGGCTTTTGACAGGGTATAATTAAGGGAAAATGGGGCCCTAATCCAATCAGACCTATGTCCTGGAAAAAGGAAATGTGCACATAGAGGAAAGGCCAGGCACAGACAGAGAAGAGCCATATTCAAGCCAGAGAGCCTGCAGACACCTTGGTCTCCGCTTCGCATCTCCAGAATGCTCACAAATTAATGTGGTTTTTTAGCCAAGTCTGTGACATGGCAGCTCTACACCAGACTGGTCCACTAGCTGACCTACCATTGAGATACCAGGTTCAGAACAAAAGTATTTTCTGACACATTGACCTCACAAAAGACATCTTTGAGAAGCCTTTCTGGGGAATATACTTTGGGCTGAACCTTACCAAATAAAGCAAGTAGAAACAGCTGGAGCCAGTGGTGGTTCACACCTGTAACTCTAGCACTTACAAGGCTGAGGCAGATTAAAAGTTTATGTGATCAGATTAAAAGGCCAATGTGGGCTAGAGAGCAAGAAACTGCTAGCCCCAGCTTGAAATACACTCTTCAAACCCGAAACTGGTCAGTCTGTTGTGATCTGATGGACAGAGGAGAGAGTCAGAGCACAGGAGGCCGTGAGGCAGAGGACTGCATTCTGCAGTTCACCTGTGCTCTGCCCTCCGTGCTTGTCATCATATCAGCACTGGATTAATTGGTTAAAACGTGATGAGGGAAAATCCTGCTGTGCCTTTTTGCAATGCTGAAGAAACAAAATTTGCTGCTTGTGAAAGAGTTGCTTGGTAGTGTTTTCTGTGGTTGGTTGGCCTGTATGTAAAGAGCTTTTTAAAATATAAAAATATAAAATAATCCAGACTTCCAGGAAACAAACAAACAAAACAGAGCTGTGTGCAGAGAGGAAGCTGCTTATCACAGCAGTTTAGGTATCATCGCCCTGGAAGTGAAGGGATTATGTTAGAAACTCGGGTCTGAGATTTGGGGATTAAGTAAACACATGTGCAGGAAAGTGACTGGAAATAACTTTGGGTTGGTGAAGTGGAGGGCGATTTTTCTCTTGGAGTGTTAGACCTTTTAACATTGAAAGTGATTGTTGTGGGGCTGGAGAGGGCGCTGACACACAGGAGGTGGATTCAGTTCCCATCACCCACATGGTAGCTCTTTTAAACCATCTGTAACTTTGTCCTAGGGGGAATCTTGTGCCCTCTCCTGGCCTTTATGGGCACTGCATGCACATTTTACACAGATATATGTAGGCAGAACACCCATACACATAAAAATTTTAAAATACAAAATGATTATTATGTAAAAGGTCCTCAAACTATCATGGTTCAATTTATAATAATTTTTCAACTTTCTAGTGATGTGAAAGTGATAGATGTTCAATAGAAACTGTACCTAGAGTTTTGAATTTTGATGATTTCCTGGGCTAATAAGTGGTATGTAGTTGAGTCTGAATGCAGGATGACAGTAAGGAGCCACCGGTTCCCTTCCCTCCACATGGGCACAAGGGGGCGCCACCAGAACACTGCTGTGGTGTGTAGTGGAGCTGGGTGCTTGGAAGGGAGATGTAGGAAATGCCTTTTCACCTTGACGATAACTCCAGCTGAAAGTGGCTATCAAGACAGCGCCCTCCACAAATTGAGGGAGGTTGTGCAGTAAGTCTGAAAGTCACAGCCGAGATTTGTGGATTTCTCAATGCCATAAAATCCAGACCTTTGGTGTGTGTGTGTGTGTGTGTGTGTGTGTGTGTGTGTGTGTGTGTGTGTGTGTGAAGATGTGCTCCGTGTGGGAGAACAATCCCTCGGAGTTGGAGTTACAGGCAATTGTGAGCTGCCCAGCATGGAGGCTAGGAACTGAATCTGGGTCCTGAAAGAGCAACACCCACACTTGTAACCACTGAGCATCTCTCCAGCCCTCCTCCAGCATTTCTTATTATGAATAATGGAGTAGGGAAAGTAGATAGGAGACACGAGTCCATAGAATAAAGCAATTATTGTAAACTTTGAGGAGTTTCTGAAAATAATATCCTGTTTCCACACCTAGGATGAAGCTGGGGGCAGGTTTGTTGCTTTCTCAGGAGAAGGACAGTCGCTGCGGAAGAAGGGGAGAAAGCCTTAAGTCCAAACTGTCGGCTGGCTGGAAAATAAAGATCGTTTGCAACACACTGGCTTATAGTTACTGCCTCTGACAAGTTCAGAGAATGCTTATTTATGGTTTGTTTATAGAGTTACCAGCAAAACAGCAGAACCGGAGGTTGTGTGCTTAACTTGGGAAAGAGAAATCGCTCTCAGGACCCATAGGTGGCCGCCTCCTCTACTTCATGCATTCTGCTCCAGGGCTCCCCCAGGCCATGCAGACCAGTTCCGCTTCCTGCCTTGGTTTTCCTTCCTAGGTCAGTATAGGGCGGTGTCTTCAGCAGATTACAGCTACTCAGGCCAGAAGCTGAGTACCTGACAAAGATAGTCTCTGCCTTTATTTATAGTCTTCAGAAGGGATCTCATCCAGACAAATTCATCCTCATTTTGATCTGCTGGCTGTCAGTGAGTTCCATGGGGAAGCCAGATGTGGAAGTTAGAATGAATAAATGCTGAAGCTATGCCCCCTATTGCAGTTTTATTTATTACCCAAAGTTCTGATAGTTTGTCTGTTTTTTAAGTACTAGGGTTGAATTAAAACCTCACGAATACTAAGCATGCCGCATACTCTGCCACCGAGGTTCACCCGTGCCCCATTTTCTTACTGTTTTATTGTCCTCATATCTGCACTTTGTATGACGTAAGATCTTTTGACATGCTGATCCAATTATTTAAAATTTGTTCCTTGAGAATAATTCTTATTCAAGAATTAAATAAACTGATTAAAACTCACCTCTAGCTGTTTGATTGGTAGTTTGGGCCACTAGCCAGAAGTCACAGGAATGCCCACTTACAGCAGCCCGACACCTCATCCTGTCATTAGAAGACTGCACCTCTGAGGTTTGTGGAGGTGGTGGAGACGGTCAGGCCTAAGAGGGTGCCCATGGAGGATGCACTCTTCCTATAGGATGACTAGAGTGTGTCCATTCAGTGAGAAATATCCATAAACATCATAATTGGCTCCTGTTGATAGTTGTTTTCTTACTCTGGGGGGCCCGCCACCCAGCTCCTAAATAAGTCACACAGGCTTATTAATTATAAATGTCTAGCCTTGGCTTGTTTCTTGCTAGCTTTCCTTAAATTATCCCATCTACCTTTTGCCTCTGGACTTTTCCTGTTCTCTAACTTCTGCAAATGTTACTCCATGGCTTGCTGTGTAGCTGGGTGGCTGGCTCCTGGAGTCCTCCTTCATCTCTTGTTCTTTGATCTTTTCCAGATTTCTCCATGTAATCTTTATACGTATCCTTTCTCCTGTCTTGCCATTGGCCATTCGGTTCTTTATTAGACCATCAGGTGTTTTAGACAGGCACAGTAACACAGCTTCACAGAGTTAAACAAATGCAGCATAAATATAAGTAACACACCTTAAAATATTACTCTCCAACATTCTGTCTCTGTGACACATCATCACTGGCCAAATGTGGCTTTGGAAGTCATATGTGCTGCAACCTGTCAGGCTGGAAAGATGGTGCAGTAACTTGCACTTGCAGAGGATGCAGGTTTGGTTCCCAGCACCCACATGGTAGTCCACAGCCATCTAATTCCAGTTCCAGAGATCTATGCACACACGGTGCACGTAACATTTATTATACATCAAATGAATGCATCTAATGTGGCGGTGGCGCATGCCTTTAATCCTACCACTCAGGAGACAGGCAGAGGGAGCTCTGTGAGTTCAAGGACAGCCTGTTCTACAGAGCAAGTTCCAGGACAGCCAGGGCTGTTAGAAAAAAGAAAAGAAAGAAAAAAAAAAAAAAAAAGAACCCCAAAGTGTATGTGACTACCAGGTGTGTGCATGTGGGAATTAGAGTACAGTTCTCAGGAGTCCCTTCTGCCACCTGGAGGGATACAGGAATCAAACTCAGGTCCTCATCTCACCTTATGATTGACATTAGCCTCCAGTTAGCTTTAGCTCCCCCTCCCTCCCCCTCTCTCATGTAGGGGTGTTTTGCCTGCATATATGTTTGTACATTACCTGTGTGCCTGGCGTCTGCCGAGCTCAGAGGAGGGCGTCGGATCCCCTGGAACTGGAGTTTGAGATGGTTGTGAGCTGCCATGTGGGTGCTGGGAATCAAAGGCAGCCAGTGTTAACTATGAGCCATCTTTCAAGCCCCATACATTGGCTCTTTTGTGTTGTTTAGAGACAGGGTCTCACAATATATTCCTGGCTGGTCTGGAACTCACAGAGATGCCCCTGCTTTGATCAGAGCGCTGGGATTAGAGGTGTGCCTCCAGAACTCCTCTCACCCTTAGCCACCCCACACCCGTTCCCTCCTTTCCTTACACAGGATCAAGCTCATCTACACTCTCAGTGTATGCTCAGACCAGATGCCTGTAGTCTGAGACCTCCAGGTGGGTTATTTGGAGTTCAAGAGTCTGTACTTGCAAAGCTGAGCCACATTGAGATTTGAAAAATAAAAACCGGGAGAGCTGGCCGGAACTGCAGGGTTCCAGACTGTCAATGACAAAGCTCTGAAGCCGAGTCACCCGCCAGACCCCAGGTGGTGAGGCCTCTGACAACCGGCCACTCAGTGAAGACGTCCTGTTTAGTTGCGAATTTACTTGGACCTCATTGGCTCACGTCTCTGTCAGTCACACGGGGCCTGGACATGGCGGTCGCCGGCCGCTGGCAGGTGAGTGTGCTGGGCTGCTGGGCTAGGTGGGGTGTGGCGATCAATCGTGGCCGCCCGCGCTCACGCTGTCCCTCCCCGCAGCCTCCCCGGCCCTGCGAGGTCTACCGCGCCGAGTGGGAGCTCTGCCGCAGCGCCGGGCACCTCCTACACCACTACTACGTCCACGGCGAGCGGCCGGACTGCAGGCAGTGGCTGCGCGACCTGGCCAGCTGCCGCGAGTGGGAGGAGAGCCGCAGCCCGCAGGCCCAGGTGAGCGCAGGGTGTGGGCGTGCGCACAGAGCCTTCGGGGACACCCCCTCGTGCTTCCCTCCTGAGAAGTACCCCAAACTGCTGTATCGAAGGGACTTCAGACCGCGTCAAATACAGAGGGAGGCAGAAAGGAGGCACAGACAGGCTTGGAGGCTTGGGGGGGGGGGGGGAGGACAACCGCCCAGCGTTAGGGTCATCGGCAGGCCCTTGGGGACAGGACGGAGGATGAAAAGAGCCAAGATGCCTGGAGGGTGGGCAGTAGAGGACATAGGAATGAGCCTGGGAGTACCTAAAACCGTTCAAGCACGTGTGATCGGAGCTACCTTCCGAAGGCCGGCCTGGCTCTGAGAGCCGGAGAGTGCTGTAGAGGCCAGAGGCCAGCACTGGGGCTGGACCTTCTCTAGGGAGGTGTGAAGAAACCTCTACTTACTCTGAAAGCCTGTGGAATGACTGACGGACCAAAGAAAGGCTTCCACTTCATCTGGCTTGGTGAACCGGTGACTTTGCTGGGTGACTCAAAGGCAGCAAGCAGCATTACCTGAAGTCCCAGCGTGGGTGATCCCTGGAGCTCCGCGGACGCCTTCTGAGCAGCCCTAGAGTCCTCTCCCAGCCACTGTTACTGCTTTTATAGCTTTGGGTAGGAGGCTGGTCAATTTTTAACTCTCTGAGCTTCTTGCTCCTACATTTCCTGTGCTTCCCGAGTCAGTGAGCCTCCCTCCTCCCTCCAGGTGGGAGTGATTCAAAGCCTAGGAACTCGCTAAGACACAGGTGGCTCCCTGTGTCCATTCGTTAAACAAACAGTTGTCTCCTTGGGCGATCTCTGATACAGGGTGATAAGGGGAGTCGTGCCTTCCTGGGGCACACTCCAGTCTGGAGTCTGGTATTGCTTTCGCGGGCGGTGTGATGGGGGACAAGGGGCGCGAACACTCCAGGACAAAGTCCCTCTCCTCGCCAGCAGAGGGAGGTCAAGGAGCGAGATGTTAGGTGTTGAAAACATTCCTAAATATTCTGTAACAGACAAACGGATGTGGAAAACAAGCTGCTGAAACTTTTTTCCTCCCCAAGACAGGGTTTCTCTGTATAACTTTGGTGCCTGTCCCGGATCTCGCTCTGTAGACCAGGCTAGCCTCGAACTCACAGAGATTTACCTGGCTCTGCCTCCTGAGTGCTGGGATTAAAGGCCTGCACCACCACCCCCCGGCCCTGAAACATTTTTAAAAATCGCAGAAAACAGAAACATGGCAACCCCCTAATAAGTGAAAGTAAAAAACATGGCAGAAAGCTTGTTTGTATGGCAAGAAACTGGAAACTTACTGTCTGTAACTATATATGAACTATCATAAATTAAGGTAAAAAGCAAAGATGCCTCTGAATAGAGAAATGGACAAAGGTTACAGATAAGCAATTCGCCATGAAATCAGAATACAGAAGCAATTATTTCTGTACAATTTTTAAAGTACTTTTATTCTTATTTTATGTGTGTTTCGCCTGCATATGTCTGTACCATGTGCATACACTGCCCGAGGATCCCCTGGAACTGAGTTTCAGATGGTTGTAAGCTGCCATGTGGGTGCTGGAAATCAAACCCCAGTCCTCTGGAAGAGCAGTCATTGATTTTAACTACTGAGCCATCTCTTCAGCCCCTATGAAGTTAAAAAAAAAAAAGTCTTTGTATAGTATGGGTATGTTGTTGCATGCATGTGTATTTGGTGCACACATTGCATGCAGCGGCCCTCTGCTGGCATCAGGCATCTTCCCAACCACTCCCCACCTGATTTACTGAAGCAGGATCTCTCTGAGCCTGGACTTCCTTCCCTGTCTCCACCTCCTGAGTCCTGGGATAACAGGCATGCACCAACATACTCAACTTCTGTTTGCTTCTTAAACAATAATGACCTTTTTAGAGACAGGATCTGGCTATATAGCCCAAGCTGGTTTGGAACCTCAGGTCCTTTTGGCTCTGTCTGCTAACTTCTGCCAATACAGCTAGTCACTACCACTCCCAGTTTAAGAGGCCTACAGAGCACCTGACACCTCACCAGGGACACCCCTGTCATAACAAGGGGGACCTTTTATGCAGAGTCCAACAGTAACTTTGGACTGCTGTCTCTTCCTCACTCGGTGTCCCCACTCTCAGGCTTGCTCCAAACTCTCCGGGTCTGCTGTAGCTGAGGCCTAGGAGATGCTGAAGTCAGAGACTGGACATGGCTGTGCATGCTTATGATCCCAGCACTCAGGAGGAGGAGGCATCGATATCAGAAAGTGGAGGTCATACATAGTGGTCGTGAGGCCAGCCTGGGCTGCTTGAGACCCTGTCTAAAAAACCAAAGAGCACAATAAAATTGCTGCTTAAGGTGATAAATCAAGATGACCTGTGCTGCAGAGAAAGTGTGGCCTAGCTGTGTGGGTGCTAAAATGGAACGGTTCTCAAGGTATGTTATGTAGAAGCAGCTGAGCCACGGATCTGTGTGGACCATACGTTCCCATTTGTTCCTCTCTTCAGAAAAGTGCTGAGGAAGAGGGTGGGACGGGTACCATGGGACAGTAGCAGGGGCGCTGGGACCCCGTTGTGAGGCAGTAAGTGACGAGAATCTCATTTGTGCAGCGATCGCTCTGTGAGAGTGAGCAGGCACGGGTCCAGGCTGCACAGAAGCAGACCCTGGTGTGGGCCTCGAGGCAGAGACCCCCTGCAGACTGGAACCTCCCTCTGCCACAGGAGAAGGACAAGTGATGAGTGACAAGCAATTGCAACCGGCTCTTGACCTGGACTTTGACCTGGGAACACATGGAAGGCATTCCAGCTCTAACTGCCTGTTGCCCACCTGCATCCGGGCATCACACCACTGTGAAACTCTCAAAGACACCTGTGTCCACAATCGCAGGAAACCAAGCACTGTGGCAGGTACCTGTGAGCAGCCAGGTTGGTCCGTCGTGTCCATGCCACCTCCCTGAGAACACCCACACCACAGGTGGCAGTCCTGAGGTGTGAGAGCCTCAGGTACACAGTGGCAGCCCTGACTTATGTGGATACGTGGCGCAGTAGTCAGAAAGGTTGCTAAATGGTTCTGGTGCAGATGGCTGTCTTTGACCAAGAGAATTTGACCTCGATGCCTTGGGTTTGGTGATTACTGAGTTATCCAAGCATGGAGCTTGGATACTTGCTCAGCTGCGCTGGAGATACAGTAGAGCATGCTCAGTGGGCAGGGCAACTTGCCCCTCTGCATCAGCAACGTTTGCTGGTTTTACAGACTTTTAAAAAGAAATACACACAGCCTTGAAGGAACCACAGAATCTGGGGTCAAGAAATCCAAGTCCCAAGCAGAAAGTCAGACTTCAAGTCCAAAGAATATGGGATTGAGGCCTTCTGATTCCGCCTCGTCATGAATGTATTAAAAGCTGTTTTGCATGTTTCATTCCAAAAGCAACCTGAAAATTAAAGCCACGTTTGTTACACTTTCTACCTGTCCTAGTTAGGGTATCGATTGCTTCGATGAAACACCATGACCAAAAGCAAGTTGGAGAGGAAATGGTTTATTTAGCTTACACTTCCAGATTGTAGTCCATCATTGGAGGGAGTCAGGACAGGAACTCAAACAGGGCAGGAATCTGGAGTCAGGCACTGATGCGGAGGCCATGGAGGGGTGCTGCTTACTGTCCTGCTCTCCATGGCTTGTGCAGCCTTTCTTATTAAACCCAAGACCACTAGCCAAGGGATGACACCACTAACAATGAGCTGGTCCCTCATCCATCAATCACTAATTAAGAAAATGCCCACTGGGTGGTAGTGGCGCATGCCTTTAATCCCAGCACTCGGGAGGCAGAGGCAGATGGATCTCTGTGAGTTTGAGGTCAGCCTAGTCTACAGAGTGAGTTTCAGGACAGCCAGGGCTACACAGAGAAACCCTGTCTCGAAAAACAAAACAAATGCCCTACAGCTGGAACTTATGGAGGCATTTTCTCAATTGAGGTTTCCTTCTTTCATATAATTCCAGCTCAGTGGTTCTCAACCTTCCTAATGCTGCAAACCTTTTATACAGTTCCTCAGGTTGTGGTGACCCCCAACCATAAAATTATCTCACTGTCTCTTCATAACTGTAATTTTGCTACTGTTATGAATCATAATGTAAATATCTGATATGCAACCTCTGTGACAGGGTTGTTTGACCTGTCTCAACCCACAGGTCTAGAATCACTGCTAGCTTATGTCAAGCTGATGTAAAACTAGCCAGCACAATGCCCAACAGTGATATACTCAGATTAGTATTTCATTCTTTTGTAGTGGTTTAAATATTTACTTAAATACACACATGTGCCTGTATGCGTACAGGAGCACATATGCATGGACATATACCCACACACAGACACATGTGCCACACATAAACGAGTATGCACATATGCACACACACAATTTATACACACAGGCGCTCAAGTGTGAATATACATAAGCATGTACACACATGCATACTCACATAGGCACACATACATGCATGTACATGCACATAGATACATGCACTCACTTATACATGTGCACAGGCACACACACAGAAGAACACTAGCTCTTAGAGAGATCTCTTTATTACTAAGATGGCCAAATGCCTTGTGGCTGCACTGCAGGCCTTGTGTGAGATGCTAAGGCAGTCTGGTCCAGCTGCATGCCCAGCACTCTCTCTGTAGCTTTCCTGGACATAAGCAGTAGGGTGACCATCTCTGAGGCAGAATTATGGATCTCTTCAGAAAGGATTCATTGTAAAATAAAATCTCCCTCCTGAGCGTTCTGCACCGTTGTGAATGATGGCACTTGGGTGCTCACAGGAACTGCAGAGCAAGGACGGGTCTAATGAGAAGGCGGGGTTTGCCGTTTCCAGGGGGCGGTCACTTGGAGGGGAGGAATCTTCAGAGTGACATTTCCAGGCAGTGAGGGCAGAGAAGGTGCTAGAGAGTGGCAGTCTACAGAGCTATCTGCAAGGACAGCTGTTAGCTTGTTGAGCCGGCTCCTGTACCAGTTCATGATGGAGTCCTTGTGTGGCCAACTTCCTGTCGCCTGCTTCTCTGTTCCAAGCTGTCAATCCCACACCAACATAGAACTTGGATAGAATTTTCCTGCATTTACCCTGTGTTCATTCATTTTGTTGTTGTTCATTTCCAATTGAGAAACAAAAGCAGGACATTGTGTAAGGGGGGCTTGGGAGTCAGCACAACACACCCAGACTCCAAATTCTCAGCCCAAAGAAGACTTATTACCCTGGAGGGACAAGTGTGTGTGGGAGGAGGCTGCCTCTGGACAAAGACAGCAGGTGTTTCTGCAGGAGTGGTTTTTAAGAGGAAAAGGGGAAGTCTGTGCTGGGGTGGGTTGGAAAGTCCTGATTGGACAGGTTAGCTAGTGTAGCCAAATAGTGAATTTTGATTGGTGGACCTTGGTGTTTTAGTCAGGGTGACGGAAGTGGCCAAACAAGGGAATAGACCTTGTGGCTAGCTTTAGGAATGTCATCTAACAGTTCAGCAAGGGGAAAGGGCAAGACCTGCTGGCGCCATGTTTGTGATGTTTGAGCCTGTTCCAGAGCCCTTCACATTATACATGCTCTGTGCGTACTGGACCACTGTTCCAGAGCCCTTCACTTTATACATGCTCCTGCATACTCGACCACTGTTCCAGAGCCCTTCACTTTATACATGCTCCGTGCATACTGGACCACTGTTCCAGAGCCCTTCACTTTATACATGCTCCTGCATACTCAACCACTGTTCCAGAGCCCTCCACATTATACATGCTCCGTGCGTACTCTACCACCGAGCTGCACCAAACAAGATCAGCTTTGAGACTGGCAGGTTGACTCCCAGAGGCTTGTGGTAGTTTAAGGGAAAGTCATAGGTCAGTAATCTGGTTGGGAGTGTGGCTCCGAGGTGCACAACTTGCCTTGCTAGCACAAGGGCCCAAGTTTGATCTCCAAGCACTGCAACCAATAAAAAGTGAGGTTAAAACCAGGTGTGATGGTGTGCCATGCTGTATAAAAAGTGAGGTTAAAACCAGGTGTGATGGTGTGCCATGCTGTATAAAAAGTGAGGTTAAAACCAGGTGTGATGGTGCGCCATGCTGTATAAAAAGTGAGATTAAAACCAGGTGTGATGGTGTGCCATGCTGGGATCCAAGCGCTTGGGAGACACGGGCAGAAGGATCAGGAGTTCAAGACCTTCTTTGGCTAGATGAGGCCTTCTCTGAAAAACAAACAACAACAACAAAAACCAAACAAACAAAATCCCTAACATGATGGTAAATGTTACAACAAAAGTGCACACAAGTGTAAGATGCAGCAGTGTCCCAAACTCTGGACGAACTCCATAGTCACAAGAGTATTGTACATATTACCACTGCAAAAAGCTTCATATAAGTTTTTGTTCTGTTCTGTTTTGTTTTTGAAACAGGGTCTTACTATGTAGCCCTGGCTGTCCTGGATCTCACTCTGTAGACCAAGCTGGCCTTGAACTCACAGAAATCTGCCTGCCTCTGCCTCCCAAGTGTGGGACTAAAGGTGTGTACCACTCTGCTTGGCTACTACTTGGGTTCTTATCTAAACTGTGGAGAACATATTGCTATTTTCATGAAGCTGATGTGCACATAACAGCAACTTGGATAAAACCTTAAAAAAGTACCCTGTTTTTGAAAAAAAAAAAAAAATCTTAGAGGGCTGGAAAGTGCTCATTAAGAGCACTGGCTGCTCTTCCAGAGGACCTGGGTTCAATTCCCATCACACACATGATGTTCATAACTGTCGGGAATTCCAGTTCCAGGGGATCCAATATGTTCCCTCTTCTGACCTCTGCAGGCACCAGGCATGCAAGCAGTGCACACACATGCATGCAGGGAAAGCACTCACACACAAAACATAAGTTACATAAATCTAATAAAAATTAAAATAACCTAGTATTAAAAAAATAAGAAAAAGGGTCTTAAAAGGATACATGTAGGAGTCATGGGGCAGGGATATGGGAAGAGGGAATTGAGTCAAGGCCGACTCTTGGTAAGGAATCCACATGGCTGGGTTGGTAATTCTCCAGGGCTGTGTGATGAAATGTATACAATCTGATGCACACGTAGATGAATGCAGACATAAGTGAGGAAATTGAAATGCTCTGTGGAGTAACAAGTGAGGCCTCCTGAAGGCCTCTCTGCTGTCTCAACAAACTAAATTAGACTGAAATGGAAAGATCAGGTTTAATGAGTAAAGCTCTGCCGGGCAATTCCCCGGCCTGCAGAGAGAAGGGGACCAGAGGCCGGAAGAACCACGTGTCTGTTTTCTGGGATGCCCCTATATATACCCTGTGGGAGTGGTCTTGAGCCTCTCTCGGGGAGGAGCTGTGTATGGCAGGCTTTGAAGGGGTGGGTTTAGGGAAAGAGATGAGGAAGGGAGCCAAGGTGGATCTTCTACCAGACTACTTCCAAATACTTCACAGAAATATTTAAGAGTTTTACAAAGGATTAAGTGACTAACTCCAACTGACCAAGAAGACAAACAGAATTACAAAAATCATTGTTTACCAATCAATATCCAAATGTGTTCAACATTACCCTTAAGTGCTGTCTTCAAAATTAATGGTGGATATTCATTTTTATAAGATTGTTTCTTTGCTGGTTTCAGCAAAGGACATATGCATTACTCTGGTCAAGGGCATGGAAGAGTAGATAATTTAAGATTACAGCTGGGCATTACCTTAGGTTGTAAAAGTTGATTTCATGGGAAATCTAAGGCAAGTAAAGTTGATTGTTACATTGTTCTTTTAAAGGCAGGTTAACTAAACAGGCAGAGTGTAGGTAGGACAGCAGTCCTAAGTCTTAGTAACCCTAATTCCAATACTCTTCAAATTGTTCCACACAATAGAAACAGAAGGAACATTATCAAACTCTTTTTATGATGCTACAGTTTTTCTGATACCCAAACCACACAAAGATGCAACAAAGAAAGAGAATTACAGACCAATCTCCCTGATGAACATTGATGCAAAAATACTCAACAGAATATTGGCAAACCAAATCCAAGAACACATCAAAAAAATTATCCACCATGACCAAGTAGGCTTCATCCCAGGGATGCAAGGATAGTTCAACATATGAAAATCTGTCAATGTAATACACCATATAAACAAACTGAAAGAAAAAAACCCCCACAGGATCATCTCATTAGATGCCGAAAAGGCTTTGACAAAATCCAACACCCTTTCATGATAAACATCTTAGAGAGATCAGGAATACAAGGAACATACCTAAACATAATAAAGGCAATTTACAGCAAGCTGACAGCCAACATCAAATTAAATAGAGAGAAACTCAAAGCGATTCCACTAAAATCAGGAACAAGACAAGGCTGTCCACTATCCCCATATTTATTCAATATAGTACTTGAAGTTCTAGCTAGAGTAAAAAGACAACTAAAGGAGGGATATCAAAGGGATAGAAATTAGAAAG